AAAGTAGTTTAAAATTGTAAAGTTTAATGAAAACGGCACATGCTTTTTAAAGTGAACCATGTTCTTCCGTCTTCTTATTAACACTGATTAACTTTCCTGTACCAGAGCATGATGCTGCCGCCACCAATTTGGCTTTTTAGCACACAGCTAAAAAGTCCAAAAAATGTTTAAAAACGTCATCATTTACAATTTTTCACTACTTCAGATTTTATTTGTCGCATAGAATTTGAGCATTTGCATTGCAGTGTGCGGTGGCGACAAAACAGAAAAAGTTCAAGAGGTGTGAATATTTTTGGAAGACGCTGTTCCAGTGAAAAGAAAAGTTTTCCGCTGGTGATGGTGGAACTTTGTTTTAGACTGATTATGTGCATGTTGTGGAAGCAGAATACTGTTTTCATGCCAAGTTTGGGAAAAAATTTCTGCTGACTATTTCTGCTGACTAACATTTTTGAAGTGGCTTTTATTTGGTCAGCAGATCTAATGAAGACATATTCGGCATGTAAATGGTGTCATAAACCTTTACAAATACCAGAAATGTGCCATTTTTTCCCCACAAATTGTGGAGGCAGCAAACTTTCCTATTTTTCCCCAGTTTCTGTATGTTTGTAAGATGTCAGCCGTTCCTTTAGGTTAGCCTGAAATTGTGTTTTTCAACTTTTACAGTTTCTACCATTTTACAGTGTGAATTCAGACTGGGTGAGATACAGAAATCCATAATGTGTGTGTGTGACAATTTTGCTCACTGGCTGAGTGTGTCATTTTAGCAGGGAACAGATGACCTATTGTTTTTTTTTGTTTGTTTTTGTTAGCTTTGGAAATGCGCAGTCAGCTTTTTATTTTTTACCACATATGATGTCAGAAAGATTTTTAAACATTTGTTATGGGCTATAAAACATGACTTTGGAACTGTAACTCAGCTTGTGGTTATTTAGAGAATGGGAAATGTGAAGTCACTCTAGAGTCACGTTTAGACTCAATGATCAAAAACACTTGTTTATGAAGATTTAAGAAGTGTGGAAATCATGTTTCACGGCTACTCTTTCTTTAAAGGAGAAGCCAATCTTTAATCACTTTCAGTGTCCACAGTTATCTTTACACTGTCTGTACCCTCGTCTGTAAAACCAAACGTGTACCAAATCCTAATTATTCACTTAGAATGGCCACGAATGGCTGATCCGACATTCTGCGCTGTCCGATCATTCCTCGTCTTTTCACTGGGCAAAAATTAGGCTCGTCTCGCACAGACAGAGCCACATTGTTTGTATCTCTTTCACTATCGTTACTGTGTCGGACTAACTCCTGGGAGGGTTTCTGTAAATATTCAATGCAGCTACATCGTCTGGAATGTGCTTGGCGTATGCGTTTCCTAACCACTTGTTCGGGGATGAAGAGGCGAAGGCGTGGTGCAGATACTCGGATATATTTGCTGTGATTACTGTATTGGGAAACAGATGAATGTGGAGCAGTACACAAGCCGGCGGACAGTACGCCGTTTTGCTTGTGACGTTCCTGCAACTATGCAACTCTGGATTACCAGCGTGTGTTAACAGACTCTCTTTGCGTTTGTGCCTGTGGTTTCACACGCAGGCCAATCACAGTTAGAATCCAGTCTGTCTGTCATGCTGTCTGTGAGTCCACTAAAATGTGTTGGCTGTTACATGAGAGCGCGGTGGTCTGCCAGAGCAATTGGCAGGACTAATTTGAATCATTTCCCACAGCATGAGTGGCATCTACTGTATGACCACTAGGTTTTCTCTGTTCATTATAATTTGGCCTTTTGTCTTGTTCAGGGAATTCTAGAGCCTTATTTCTTCTCTTTATTTAAGATATCATGTTACAGGAGCCTTTCAAGTCAGTGTAGTGGCATATTATTTAACCAAAGCCATATCTTCTATGAATTCTTTTCTGTCTTTCCTTTTCACTCAGAAGGTCAGGCTATATGAATAGATTAATCATTGTTAGTCTGATTATGCAAATAAATTCTGTTTTGCTATCAATTTGTCCCAGAGTGTTTTTTATTTTTTATATTTGGTATTTTAAAGTAAGTCGTTTTACTAGCAACATTTATTGCTACATTTTGTTTTACTTTGTGTTTCTTAAAACGCAGAAAAAACACTACAATATCTCTGAAATAACTTGCATTTAAATTTCCTTTAAATAATCCATTGTATTTTGTCTAGGTGGGTGAACTTTACAAAATAATCCCTGAGAATTATTGTTTTGATCAGAGAAGCTCTTAAGAGAGATATTTCCCAAAACTTATAATAGTTTGTAGAACAAACACGTAGCACGAGGAAAAGCTACGTGAGAGTGACGAGGTCACGTGCAGGTGGGGTTGTGTTGGCTGGAGAAACACCTCCATCTGCTGGATGAATTCTGGAATTACAAGCACAAAATCCAGCGAAAATTCATATTACAGAGAACATTTTATGCATTTAGTCATTTGTCCAAAACATATGTAATGAATTCAGTTTTCTTTATTTTGCAAGCTTCACACATTTCAAATACTGTTCCGGAAATAATTTTGTATTGATAGAAAACTAGACGTCACACTGAAATAACTGGTTTCTCCTCGCCACTGACGTATCTCAATCGCACCGCTTGATGGCAGCATTGACACACAGCTCTTTACCCAAGCAGACGAAGAAAATCCATTCTCTACTGTGATTGGACCAAAGAGTGACGCAACCAACCAACGCAGCACCCGGAAGAATGACAAATGTTTATCGCTGAAGTTTCGGGTAAGTCTTGATGTTTTATTGAGTCTTCTTCAGGAATTGGAAAAGCGAACTTTATTCACGGCTGTCTGAGAAAACAGTACAAACTCTGAAAGTCAACCGAACCTGTTTGTTTTCATTTTGGTCCTGTTTTTGTTCGTGTTATTAACTCTTCAGTTTAGCTTGTGTGTTTATTGCTGCTGCTTTGTAACATATTGTTCTGTTTATATACAGATGAGAAGTACATACATTCAGCTTCAGTGTATAGTCTTTATAGATAGAAAATAAAAGTTACAAAAGAGGTTAATTTTTTATTGTTCTTGTTTTTAAAAGTGGCGTTTCTGCTCATGCGCTCTGAAATAAAAGAACCCCAATGGTTAATAATTGTAGCTGTTATTTACATGAGTTCATTCACTCGTCCATAATGTGACATAACTCTGTTTACGTGTGTAGTTTCCTTAATACACAGATCACGCGCCACACATCAAAATGGCCTCATACTTTGATGAACATGACTGTGAGCCCACCAACCCTGAGGAGCAGTATCGTCAGAATGCACTGCTGGAGCTGGCCAGGTGAGCTCCCACCGACCTGACTCACATGTTCTACTGTAAACGTGACCTGCAGATTCTAGCTCCGGGATGTGTGTTTGTCTCCAGGTCCTTAATGCAGGGTTTGGACTTGATTGACTCCGGGGCTTTTGACCTGTCAGACTGGGATCAGCGGCTTCCTCCCCCAGCTGCCAAAACTGCAGTTCAGACCCTCACTGTGGTTGTCATTTCCGCAGAACAAGCAGGTGACAGAAATTTTGGAGAAAAAAAAGTGTTTAAAGCTGTTCGCCAGATGTTCTCTTGTATAGTTGAGGAGATTTAGTTGGACTCTTTGTGTTCATGGCAGACAAAGGTTTGAAGTGTCCTGTGTGTTTGCTGGAGTTCGAGGAACAAGAGACGGTTCGAGAAATGCCTTGCAAACATCTCTTCCACTCAGGATGTATACTACCCTGGTTGGGCAAGGTAAAGCTCACAAATGTGCAATTTATGAAATAAATATTTTTAGCACATTTGAACAGCAGTTTGCACAAAATCCCTTTAAAACTTTCACGTTTTCCACTTTTAAATCCTAGACTAACTCCTGTCCGCTTTGCCGACTTGAGTTACCGACTGACAATCCAGAGTATGAGGAGTTTAAAAAGGACAAGGTGAGATGCTTGCTGAACTGTTTCACTTTTTGTCACGTTGCAAACGTAACGTATTCCACTGGGTGTTTATGTCCTAAATATGAACATACATGACTTTAGAAATCCTTTTTGCAGTGGCTGTTTTGCGTCCAGGATGGATTTTATTACCATCCAGTACAATAAAATAAAAAGAACAGTCCAGTCGAAGTCCACACATGAATTCCCCAGAGAATTATTGAAACTTAAAGATCAAGATGCAACATTTCTGTGCCACACCGGGTTGGATTTTGCATCTTTTGCGGCGTGCTGGATCTGTCAAGTGGAACCGTTGTTACTTCTGTGTTTTCAGTAGAGCCTGAGGTGATTGTGGTTCTTGTCTTTCAGGAGAGAAGAAAACAGAGGGAGCACCGACTTGAGGGCCTGCATGGAGCCATGTACACCTGATGAAAGTGCTGAACGCTTCAAGTACAGCAAGCTGCTGCGTTCAGCCCAATTCCACAAATATAGAACCCTGTTTGACCCTTTTGCTACCTACAAGAAGAAAAAAACCCCCAACTCAAACAAAAACTTTTCCACAGAGCCCCTTCAACAGCCACTGGCATCTCTTGATGCTCCATTGTGTTAAAATGAGTTTTTATTAAATGGCACCAGCTTTGGGAGCATAATAATGGAACATTTCAAACATGCTTTTTTTTTTTAACCCAATGTTTTCGAATGGACCTGATACCAGCTCTGAGCAGTTTGACTTTAAATTCCTTTTTTATTTAAATTAATGAACTTCTAATGTGCATAAAAGCTGTTATCAAGTAAATGTTTAGGAAGAGGAAATAATCAGTGACTATTTGTTATATATAAAACAAAAATGTTTTAACTTGAAACGCTTCTGATCTTTTTTCATCTGTATTTGTTTTGGCTGTTGAAGCTGATAATATGCCAAGCAAGTCAAATCAAGTGAGGCTTGTATGTATATGGATACATAATTTTTATGTATTTATGAGGTGAAATGAAATAATTTACTAAAGAAACCTTTGAGTCCCTTTTCTCATCAGAGGCCTCCTGTGCGAAGAAGCTAAAGTTAGTTGATGGAAAAAAAACAAAAAAATTCCAACAGTTTGATAACTTATTTTTATTTCATATTTGAATATAAATCTCTGTCAAAATAAAAGGCCTAAATGATAGACAAAGAAAATCAGACATATTTACAGAATTTATAAAAGGAAACAATTTCTCTTGACTTTTTTTTAATTTCATACAGGGGATTTCTCTGATGCCTTTGTTAATGTTCTGTATTTCTTTTCAAATTTACAGGACGTAGGAAGGGAGTACATTTTATAGACATTTGGATCTGTGTTACGAGTGTTGACATAAAAGGCAGGTGGCCTTCAAAAACATAAGGCTCCACACAAACCCTCAGTGCACACAATGATCTAAGCACACAAAAAAAAACAAGAAAAAGAAAATCTCCACCTTTCATTGGATTATTTGGCATGTTGAATGGTTTTAATGGTACAGAAGCTGTTTTGGCCCCATGTTTGGGCTCACAAGCTGCCGTATGGCAAAAAAAAAAAAAAAAAAGGCTGCAGCTAAACATAAGTCAAATATGACAATAAAAAGAAAGTTTCTTAGGCAGAGTACATAAGGCTGAAAACAGTGCACTTCATACTAACTCATACCGCCGCATCTGACACACACACACAAAGAAAAAGAAAACTGTATACTCCAGTCTTTTTTGGCATGGTTTTCTGCAGTCCAACAAACATATCAAGTTCAAACTTTTTGCACAGCAAGCGCTGAGAGCGCCGTGAGCCCAATTCAGTTTATGAAACAGCCTGACTCCAGCTCTGTCACATTCTGACACTTGTGGACGAGGCTGGAAAATACTGAACCTCGACCAGAGTAACAAAAAAAAAAAAAAAAAAATACCCAACAAGTTGAAAGGCTCCCATCTTTCACATCAGACCCACAAAAGAGGTAGGAGACGTGACCTTTTGAAAATGCGTATTGCTGGCATCCTGTGTGTTTGACGAAATATAACGCGTCAAGCGGTAGGACAAAAAAACCCCCAAAAAGAACAGAGGTGATAGATGTGTGTGCTTTATGAAACCTAGCAGTGAAAACGTTCATCTGAGCAAAACCTGTGCAGGTTGTGACTCAGAGCGCCGTGGCAGTCTGCTGTCCGGTTGGGTCTCTTCTCAAGAACAAATCGGCTGCAGGAGCCGATGAAGGAGGGCGGGGCGGGAGACGACACGGGTACGGTATAGTTTGAAGTCAGTCGACAACCAGCATGTCACATTGTAACACTGCTGCGACAGCACCAATTATAGAAACAAAAAAAAATAAAAAATTGCAAACGTTTTCACACCCCAGAACTAGTTCACCTGTAGTGACGTTACAACCAGGACTTTAAATGGATTTTATTGGGACTTTTTGAGACCAAGCAACACAAAGTAAGAGTAACCCCTTCCAAAAAAGGTCCATCTGTATTTAATTGCATTTCAGTATAAATGCCGCTATTCTGCTGAAGATTAATGACTTTTTTTTATTACAAAAAGCAAATTTTTGTAAACAGATTTGAAATTTTTTACCAAAATTGTAAAGCCAAAAATTGTAAAACTACATATGATTGTGACTTTTTCAAATTGTCTTTACATGCTTATCATTAATAACCTACACTTAAACATAGACAAAGAAATAGATTTGGAATTAATGTCAGATCTGGAAATAAATAAAAAGTGTCAATAATTTCAGAAATCTTACAGTCGGTCGTCATAGGCAACATCGTGGCCTGCCCTGGTCAAATTTGTACCGTCCTTCGTTTACAGCCAGGCGGCTGCACAAAATCACCCAGAGCTGAAAATGACATGTTTTAAACCTCTTTGTGTCGATCTATCCCATAAAATCCCAATAAATCCCATTGAAGTTGGTAGTTGCAGCGTCACTGAGGGGAGTGACTACTTTTGCAAGTGTTGTGAAGAAAATCTTCTGAAAGGCTTCACACAAACTCAAACCATTAAGATAAAGACATTTCTTAAACTTGTATAAGGCGTCCAGGGATCCAGCCTGGAACGCGGCCAGCGTCAGGACCAGAACTCCACAGCAAACACCAACGTCAGACTGTAGTTTTACCGTCACTCATTTATCCCGTCACATGAAACGTCAGTCTCACCTGGCAGCTCAAACACTAAGAAAGGCATTACTCACCCCAGAGGAGTGGAAATGATCAGATGATTGTTACGTTTTCATGTAACATTGGATTGGAAAAAAAACAACAAAAACAAAACAACAAAAATTCACTTTTCAGCTTAAAGCGAGTCATTGCAACAGAAAAGACCATCCAGTTTTGCACCAACATAAATAATGATTGAGACCAATCTAGACATGTATATATTTATATATGTATAGAAAAACAAGACATCAAATTATAAGTGTAATCAAATAAAAGCAGATGAATTTAACGGTATATAGTTAATGCATGATTGATTAAATTAGACCGTAAAGATTACAGTCTGTAAAATAGACTATAGCTATTCACTTTGCAACATTCATTATTTTCTAAATCTTTTTGTGATGCAAAAAATAAAGAAAAAAATAAAAAATAAAAAGATCCCCACATAAACCGTGCAGAGATAAGCAAAAGGCCAAAAGAGGCGGGCAGGGCGAGCCTTTGGACTGGAGAGTCAGCAGAGGGGCAACGAAAATGACTTTTGAGGGCAGTAGGAACTTTTGTCTTTTGAAATCAAGAACCCAGGGGGACAGATTTTCAGAGACGAACTCCGTGCTGAGTCGTCAACTTTAACCGCCGTCTTGGAAAACATTCACGGCTCCAGTTTTTGAGCCGGCTCCAAACATTCAACTTGATCTGCTATGAGAACTGAGGAGGGAAAACAGAACAAAACGAAGGCCGTAGAGCATTATGGGTAGAAATACCTGGTGTCGCTGAGGTTACAGTTATACGAATTTGCTCTCTTGCTTCACATGCTGCCAGTGGAGCACCTCCGCAGTGACTTTTTTTGTTTGTTTTTTTCCAGACGGAGCTACAACATAGCTATGCTCTCTGGGGTGCAGTTGAGGTGTGTGGACGTGCTGCTGCCGCCGGGGGACTTCAGGCCCTTGGTGGCCCCGCCCAGCGTTGACGCCCGGGACATGGGGTCCATGATGACCCCCGAGCCGTGCTGGCTCTGCTGCAGGCCGGCCATCATGGTCTCGGTGGTGACGGTGCCGAACTCGTAGGTGAAGGTGCCGTAGAAGACCAGGATGTCCACGGTGAAGACCCACTCGCAGATGGCGGCGGCGTGCTGCAGGACGAAGCTCTCGTGGATGAAGAAGATGCCGCCTGGAGGGAGGACGGAGTTAAGGAGGACAGACGCTTTCCTGCAGAGACTCGACAGGTAAATGAGGCCGTTACCCCCTCTGCAGCGTGATGGACAGGAGCAGACAGAGCCAGAGATGAGCTAAAGAACGCTACAGCAAGTCCTGTCTGCCGCAGGATATCAGACTTTATAAGACATACAGTCTCTAGAGATGTGTGTTTTAAATGTTGAATATATATTACATATATATGATATATATGATCTTATTTCTTGATCTTATTCTGCTGGTTTGAAACTCAGCAGGCGTCGAGTGAATTCGCTGCTTCCGGCAGCTTTAGAACGGCCTCTTCCTGAAAACTAACGCAGAGCACAAAAAACATTGTAGAAATGGACAGGAGGTGGTTCGTCACTAATGCTAACTCAGCAGACGGACCGACGGAGTAACGCACAGAACCGCCAACAAAGTTCTGAGAGAGGAAGAGAGCAGGTTGAGAAAAGCTAACACTATTCCTAAACTAAATCATTGACTCAACTACAGGATTTATGTCGACAAACAACCGAGGTCGTCACAAAAGCGACAGATCGCATGAAGAATAACAAACTACCAAGGCCGCAAACATCCCTGGTGAATAAATCAAATGCACCCTTCCACACAATATGTGAAACTTGCATTAAGGGTCTTTAAAGGTCAAATCCCAAAGGTTTCTCTCATCTCATCTGATGACAGATTTGCAGAGGATACTGAGGACCAGGGAGACCATGGCTCCCAGCGCCAGAGCCACCCGGAAGTGAGCCATCCAGTAGTCCAGGGTGGTCATGGCCACCCGGTAGGTGAGGACGCACTGCAAGCACACAAACAGCAGCCCTGCAGGAAACGCCACACCGGCACCCACATAATGGAGAGATTTGGCGTGATCAACCTGCGGGACAGAAAAACAAACATTTCATACCAACTAGATGATCTCAGTCAGTCAAGAGTCAGTCAGGACTAGAGTCAGACAACCCTGGTTTAAAGTCCACATCACACTTCATGTACTGCTCAGGATTACCTGGAAGTTTCCGACCATGACCAGACCGACGGCGTTGGTGCAGCCAGACACCAGTGCGCTGGTGTTGACCCAACACTGGTGGCTGTGTTCGATCACCTGGGCGTAGCGCAGGAAGCACACCATCACCACTTCGGGGAGGAAAAGAGGAATGTGCGTCAAAAACAAACCCGAAACATTTTAATAAGATCGCATTAATTATATGGTTTCACACTTGATAGTGTGGTGGACTCGGGTTGATTGAAGAACCAAACTGCAACATTTGCTGCGTTTTTAGCTGGTACTGTTTGCTTTCTCACTGCTCTGCGTGAAACAAAACAAACTGTTTGAAAGACCTGTTGACCTCCTCGCCTGTGGTGGCGCTGCATCAAGAACTACTGAAGGAAACGACACAAAAACCTCTGAAGAAGACGCAGAGCTCAACTTTCTTCTTCTTCTTGAAACGGAAATGGAGTAGCGTCAGATGTTGTAGGATTTCTCTTTTGTTTTGAAAAGACCACGAGCCATTTGCCCCGCTAGCGCTAGACACGCGTGTTGGTTTAGGTTGCATTTACCCACAATGCCTTGTGCTGTAGTTTGTTGAAGTAAAATAATACTAAAGGAATAAAAATGAATGAATGGCTGCCAGGTAGTAGCTTCCGACCTTCTGCTGATGCAAGACTATCCGATACGTTTCTCCAAAGCAGGCAGGATGTTCTCCCAGCCATTGATCCATCTAAAAGCAGAGCCTGCTTGGCAGCTGTGCTTGAACACAATAACCTTCCTGAAGCACAACGACAAGAGAACCAGAGCTTGACCCAAAAGACACTGAAATTTGGAGCAGCGAGAGAAAGGACGCGCGTGGAGATATGCCAATTAAAGGACGTCAGACTACAAGGAGGGCAGATAAACAGAAACCAGCTGGGAAGGAGAGGTGACTGGGATGATGAAAACAGCTGGAGTGAGGCAATCGGGCCCAGCGAGGGGGGAAAGTGGGCCAGAAGTGACTGGTGTTTAAACAAGACAAGAGGGAGAGGAGGAATAATGGATGAGGGCCCCGAAAGGTGCAGGCAGGGGGGGAAAAAAATAAAATAGACATGGGGAAGTGGAAGGAAAGCTGCATTTATTATTGATTAGACAGCAGCCGTATCTGGAAGTCCCATGGATATTGGCCGAAGTCTGGAGGTACCAGGCAGAATGACTGCAAACAGAGGAGACATTGAGTACTTTGCATCTCAAAACATATTGCCCTATTTCAGATTCGCAGTGAGCAAACAGTTCTCTTTTTACATAACAGTGATTGTGATTACCCCAGAGGTTAGAGGATGGAGGCAACTGGGACAGTTTCACATCGGCACCTCTAAATCACACTTTTTTGATTCATTTGAAATTGGTTTAGATGAAAACAAACTGAAGCAAGGCGGCTGTGCTCAGAAATGATTAACCCATTGCTTCTGTAAAACCACATAATTATTAATTAGTTAGCCGCCGCCAAGGAAAACGCCTGATGAGGCATTACCATCCATTTGCAGTTGTGCTAAGCTAACTTCCTGTCACGTAAATCCGTAAACGACCTTTAGGACGCCAATCCAACACTCTGAGTCTCCCTAAATAAATCTTTAAATCTCCAATCCCATCCTCAAACTTGGTAAACCAGAGCAGTCAGTCAGTCGAAGCGCGTCGGTCCGAATGAATTATTCCGGGCTCTTCCAAGATCACATTCCATTTTCCCCAGCAGCTTAAAGCTGAATTTGTGCGTCTGTGATCAATAAGGCGTCTTGCAGCCTGGGCAGCAGCTCCTTTCACAAGGCTGAATGAATGGAGACAAGGCAGCTGAATCAGCAGGTCAGGAGCACAAACACAAGGACGGAACATGCAGACCAGGGGCGTCCAAAGCGCGGCCTGGGGCCATTTGCAGCCCCTTTTCTGATTCTCTGTGGCCCGCCAGAACAGGTGGTTGATGCAGACTTTTTTTTTTAATGGGGCAAAATTACTACAGAAATTAACATTTTCTATCGGGGAAAAATATTAAGTACAATGCTAAATATTTGTCTTTTGGCAATCATATTTTATGTTCTTTCTTGAATTTCATGATAAAAAGGAGCACATTGATCAACCCAGTTATATTAGAGAGCCCAAATCTGTTAATTAATTTGGTTAACCTGGTTTGATATAGCGAGCATTTCTAAAGAGAGAGTGTCCCAAATCCTGTTCTTATGGCTGAAATAGGCTGAATGTTTTTTATTTTTTTATTTCATCCGAGTCCAAAAGATTTTAAAAACAGGATTTCTTTCAATTCAAATTCAAAAATAATACTTTACTGATCCCAAAAGGAAATTAAATGTTTAACTCGTATCAATTCAGATTCTTCAAAGAGTTATTGTGGACGATGACAATAACACTTTGGCAGGAGAGATCTCCTGCAGCAGTCTGTATTACAGTGAGTTTGAAGAAGCCTCTGACCGAAGACACCGTTTTCACAAAGAGGATGGTCAGGGTTGTCCTGAATTTTCTCGGTTTTATCAAGAACTCAAAAGTTCTGGATCTACAATGATTTAAACTTCCCTAATTAAATTACAATCAGTAAATATTAATATACTTAAATCGAATGCAGTTGTTGTGTGCGACATATAAATCACACTTATTTAAGAAGCTTATTACAAAATGTTTCTCAACAGCATCATTTGTGTTTGTGAGGCTGCGACTGCTATACAGTTACCTAAAGGAGTAGCAGTAAATAGTTCTTATTGTCACTTTCACTGTTATCGTAATAGTACCACAAAGTATCACGATAAAACTTCAAGTTCACATCAAGTTAAGTCTCTTATCTACATTTCCATTTTTTATCTGTTTTATCTGTTAAAAAAAGAAAAAAACTTTGTTTTCTAAATCAGAACCAGCAAGACCCACTAAAAAAACAAAAACAAAAAAAAAGTATTCATGCAGTGAAGATTAGTTGAGGACGTACCCATAAAGGCTCCAACGTTGCCAATCAGGCTGAACAGGCAGCTTTCAGGAGGGTATGAGCCACATTTACTGCAGGACAAAAAAAACAGACAGTCCAGATTTTACAACCGAAGAAATGCATACACACACCTCCACTTATCCTGCTGAACTAAGTGATCAAAAACAGTTTAGCTAAAACATATCTTGTTCTGATTTTATATGAATATGAAGCTGAGTTTTAACAAGCGCTTGAGAAGCAATATTTTTTACATAAAAGAAAAACAACAGAAAAAAGAGCCTCAGGTCCCATTGTGTCTTTCCCTTTGTGCTTGCCCATTGTTGGAAGCCTACAGTCAGATTCCACGAATTGGAGTTATGCAAAGTGTGGGTTAATGACTGACACAGAGCAGCAGCACAACCAGATGCTAATTCATGCCTGAGGCCCTTTCCGATACAATCTGCGGTTTGTGTTCTGAGACAAAGAGGAGGACTGCAGATGCAGAGGAGCCAAACCTGATGAGGGGGATGTCCTGGATGGTGCAGCAGGTCTTGGGGAAGCCTGGCCGGGGCAACTCCTCCGTGCATGTGACGTTGTAAGACCTGCAGCGGCGACACAATAAGGTCAGCTCACTCTCTGGAGGTACAGCGCCTCGCAAATGTATCGCATCCTTTAACTTTTTCCAAGTTGCACCAACTTAACGATTAATCAATCACTAAATTAGTTGATAATTTCAATAACAGATCAATTAATCGTTTCAGCCCTAAACACAGAAAACTCAAGATCAAAACTGAAATACGGTAGTGGCACCATTGTGCTGTGGGGCAGCTTTCTTCCGCTTTGACAGAGAAGTTGGTTAGACTTGATAGGACGACTGAAGTAGAAAAAGAGGGAAGCAAACCAATGAGAGACAACAAAAGGCTTAAGACTGAGGTGGAAGTTCACTTTCCAGCATAACGAGAAACCTGAATGTTTAAATTAAAGCGCGTTCCTTTATCGGAAAGGCCTAGTTAAAGTCTGGACCAAAATTTGACTGGGAATCTGTGGCAAGACGTACAAATTGAGGCTCACGCATCATGCAGATCACAAGAATATTTGAAAACCAATCTCACACCACATCACATCAAAGAAAGATGTTTAATGAATCATTTCTGTAGGGCTCTTGAATACATCTAAATGTTAAACAAGAGACTATTAAAAAAAAAAAAAACACCCACCAGTTCTCTACAGGACAAACATGGTGATTCATCACAGCCATCGCATACCTGCAGGAAACAAAAGGTCAGAAGTGTTAAAGGGAGAAACACATGGCAGACCCAATAAAGCTCAAAGTATAAAAAACAAGCTTACACTTAAAAAAAAACAAACATAAAATCTTAAGTATTTTTTTATAGTTTCTAGTGCAAATATCTTAAAATAAAACAAAACTAACTTTCACGAAACTATTCAGCACAAAATAGCAGCTTGTTTTGAATCAATAATTTCTTGATATTGATGAAGCAGCACGAGTTCAACTGGAAGATTATTTCACTAAACGCTGGAAAAATGTATTGTCACAATTAAATAATCTACCTGTGGAATTAGTGCTATTTTCATTAACATTATGGAATTATTAACTTAGAACAAGCTCCTATATCTCGCTGAAAAGCTACTTCTAAGCTAGTTTTGTCTCATTTCAAGTGTACGAAGATAGTTTTACAAAAAACTAAACTAAGGATACTTCGGACTGTGTGTTTTTGCAGTGTTCTCTCCCGGACAAACGGTTCACAGGAGTTAAAACGCAGACGACAGGCACTCCTCGGCCGTGACTCACACTATCCATATTCCTGTGATGGAGAAGGCAGCCAGGCTGACGGGCAGGACGATCCAGGCAGTCATTGGGCTGGCAGTGAGCTGGCTTTGTCCCAAGCATGGGGTGAGAAGGGGGCTCAGGGCTTTGGCGGCAACACGAAGGATGGGTCAGGTGGGAGCTGGGTGGGGGCGTGGGGTCACTGATAGTGGGAGACGCACACAGGGGGGGGCATGAGAGGACGTATGGGGTGGGGGGGGGGTATGGCACAGCTCCTCTGCTCCACGGCACCCAGCAACCAGCAACAACCTTAAAAACAAAGATGATTGGACACTTTCCGTTAGGCAGCTTTAATCAGGCAATACTTTCTACGATCGGGTGTACTTCTAACCATTTTTTTTTCATTTTTTACTTTTTATTGTTGCAATGTGCTGCAATTTGCGTGTTTTTTCCTTTCTGGGGAGAAACTACATAGTGGAGAAAAATAAACTAATCGGACATCGCAAAAAACAAAAAAAACAAAAAAAAGAAAAACACTTCCTCTTCCAAGTTTCTCTGGTCGGGCAGTTAAAGCCTCAGATTTCACCTATCGGTGCTGAACATCGGCATAAAGCCGGTTTACAGAGAAACGACCTCTGTTGCTTACTGTAAATTTAAAACATCCTGCAGGACAACTCCACTGCATTGGAGAGGAACAGCGTCTCCACTGTAAACCCAACACAACCCTGGTATTGTTGACAAGCGCAGAACCAGCAAAATCCCAAGGAAACACATTTAAAGAGACAGTAAAGTGCAAATAACCTACAAGTTGCTTTCGGAGGACAGCGTACAACAACTGTGGGGAACGGGTGATTCGTCAAGGGCAGTCAGTTGACAGTCAGAGCAAAACAGCAGAGCAGAGGTTGCATCACTCCACAGGGTGTACAGTTACAAACAAGTCCTCGGCTCAGAGGGACTATAGAGTGAATAAAGATTAACTTGCAGGCTTTACAGAGGGGAATCATTTTCTAAAAGTGTGTGAAAATCAAACTGAAGCTGTTTTATTGTTAAAAAAATTAAAAAAAGAGAAATGTTTTACTTCTGCAAAGCCAGACGTGGTAAATATGTTCTCGGTGTCGGTCACTTGTTTTAAGTTACAAAACAAGTGAGCATCACAACTTAAAGCTTGACATTTTGCTGCAATCAAGTAATCTTTAAATGCTGGTGAACATTTAACACTAGAACTGGAAGTTGTTTTCAATATTCAAAATAATTAAACAACAAATAAAATGAATTTAGAAGTTGAAAAAAAAAACTGTCCTTCAAAAAAAGTCTAGTTGAGACCGAACCACCAGACCGAACATTTTTGTCAGCTACTTTTTGGTGAAAGAGAGACAAAGGAGAAAATCAGTAAAACATGCAAATTCAAATGATTGCAGGTTTTCTTTTTTTTTTAATGTATCATGAGGTCAATTGATTTATTGCTTACTACACATGTAAATTGTTTTAGGAGGGGAAAAAACATTCAATAATGTTCTGCGATGCAACAAGTATTTCTTTTGATGGATACCAAAATCACAGTTGGTTTTCTTTTTTTTAGTCCCGTTTCTTCAATAATCACGCAGCCCTGGTTAAAAGGTACGAGGTTAATTGCTCCCTGACACAAAGCCCAATAACAGAAGAGGACAAAGAGTGTGTTGTCCCAACCTCCCAGTCCATCTGCCACATGAGCTCCACCATCTGCAAGGACACAAACGGTCCTTGAGTTACCGACGCCAGACCCGGCAGCAGGGAAGAGTTTCCTAATCTGTTTGGAAGATTATGTTTTTATAAAACATGATCGATCATTATTTGATAAAAAAAAATTTCTGAACAAGTGTGGCGTGATTCTTATAAGTTGTTTCCATAACTCAGAAGATTGTAGCAGCTGGTAGGTATTCAGCGTTATTTGCCTGTTTAGTTGTTACATCACCGCTGAGGCAACTCAAAACATGTGACAGATCTAATCTTTGCTTTCCCCCATACCTGCTGGATTTCGAATTGAGAATCTGTTCAAAATCTCAAAGGCATCCTTTGTGTTCCAGCCAGAGCGGTTCCTTGTTGTATGCGCGGGTTGTTTGTGCTGGTGAGGCTTTTCTTGGAGCCACATTTAACACTGGAACTGACTTTTAAAGCGTACGGCTGTGAGGAAAGGCCTGAACACGCGCTGCAAATTCCAGATGATTTACGACACGACGGCCAGACTGTGAACCCCGCAAAGCACAGCTGTGGGAATACATAAAGCGTACAATAAAAACATGCAATCTGCGAGAAGCAGCTCTGTTCCTGCTTTCTCAGTGCAGGAGAGGAAGACCGAGTCAAACATTATGAATGTATTTTAATACCGCCGGCGACAACAGCCCAGCAGGGTGGCAACAAGGATTTTTATCGCCTTGAAAGTGAGTAATGTAGCCGTGTTTGAGGAGGGAAAGGTGCATTTTACAACCCCAAAAAAAACAAAAACAAATACAAATCATCAGTTTCTGTTTAAGAGCTGCAATTAACAGCACTGAAACGTGATTTTAGTATTATTCTAGTAGAGGGAGAAAACGGTTTCTATGAAAAATCATTTCATCAAATCACTGCTGCTGAAAACAGCTAACTTTGAGACATGTTCCCTTAGTAACAACTTCCACACCATTGAGTGTTGCTGCCCTCCCCCAACCTATCAGCACTTACATATGCACTATTCACTGATTGCCTGATCAAGATGAGGAAGGTCTGGTTTCTGTAATAATTTCTCCTTGAACCACATGCATTTATTTATTGTTCCTACTAAAATAAAGGAGAACAAACGTATATTTCGCAGTATCATATTTTTGTTTTCCATTTGATAATTTTTCCAATGATTTTAAATCAGACAGAAATAAGGTTTTATTTAAATGACCAAACATTTTAAAGTTTGTTACACGCAATTACTAGGCTTTACATTGGGGACAAGTATTTCATATTTTCAAATTAAAGCTACTATGTAAAGTAAATGCAGGTGTTTACATCGGGTGGACTGAACAGACATGAAGGACAGTGGAGCCAGAGGATCAGGGTTACAAATCACTGCAATGATGCATTTATCACATTCAATCTAAAAACAGATTAAATATGTCTGCACATTTTCTGACCCCCCCATAAAATGTAGCCACACACTAATCCCTAGACTGAAGGTTTAGTTCAAGCTGCTTGGATGAGTTCTTTTTACATAACTCTCTTAATAATTAAGCTCACACACCTAGCAGAAACAGCAAAAACTTTGGGACTTAGAATGAAAGAACTGAACTGTTCAGTAAATGCAAAGGGGGCACAGTCAGACCCCCGACCCCAGCGCTGTTCCCAACAATTACACGCCCCTGTGTCTTAAAACATAAAGCATCCAAACAACAGTGACAAGATAGTTCACCAAGTACTTCAACCCGTTTGCTCGCTTATTTACTTTTATCAAGTGAAACAAAGCAAAGTGTGCGGCGGGTCTCAGCTCTGGAGCCTGTTGTGAACAGTTAACGGTCCCCGCTAGCCCCGTTAGCTCGCGTCGAGCTCGCTGGTTAGCTTGCACTTCCCCAGTTGTCTTGACTTGACTCTTGGCCGCGTCTTGATTTCCGCTAACCTACAAGATAAGCCGCTAAGCGGGATTCGCTCAGAGAATAACGCCACGACTAATACTTGGACGGCTTGCCCAGAAAATGAATGCACGCCTACCTTCCACCTGCTGTGCCCACAGCAGACCTCATCAACCTTGGTTTCCCTTTAAAAACATCGTTTTCTTAGCAAATGAAGCTAGCGGTGGAACTCATTTCCTGTTACGCCTGTCAAAATAAAGGAGGCGGGGTTTCTTTTTTTTCTTTCTTTTTTTTTTTTGAATAACGCTGCGAAACACTATTTGGATATTTTTTAAGACGTTATTATTTTTTACTTTATTACGTTTGTGTACATGTAAACTTGTTTTTTTCTGTCATGTTTTCACCGGGTAACAAAGTGTTTAATCACTTTCATCAGGAGGCAGGACACCTCTAACTTTTACACAAGAAAAGGGACCACAATGAAAACGAACTTTTTTAAGTATATATTTTTTACGTGTAGTTTTGCACTGTTTTCGGTCAATATGTCAATTCTTAATGCTTTTGGTGTCAGTGGCCTGACGCTTTTATTTTAGCACAATCCCATGATCTGATGCAAGTCAGTAACTTTACAAAGATCTCCCTACTTCCAGGGCCTGCTCTGCATCTTTAACATCAAAGTCTGTCAGATAATGAAAAGAACAATTTTGTACGTTTAAAAAAAAAAAAGCTCTTTGAAACATTTTAATTAAACTGTTACTGTTAATTTACGTTTGCAATATGCAGAGCAGCAGCTGCCCAAAGTAAGCTCCTGCCAGGGGTGGAGGTAGGGTTAGGAGTTTTTGAAATCATTATTATTATTTTTAATCAGGTTACACACTTCTTCCTAAAGCAGTTTCTATGCACTCGTCCAACTGTTACCCTCTTTAAAATTTAGATGTTTTTCTTGTCCGGGAACAAAAAATATTCAACCAAAACTGAATCCATCCATTTATTCTCACTGTGTGAGAGGCAGGCAATGATCTTGAATAGTTTAGTCCAACACAAAGGCTCACAGGGCAACTAACCACACACACACACACACACACACACACACACACACACACACACAACACACACACACACACACACACACACACACACACACACACACACACACACACACACACACACATTAATACCAAAAGCCTTTTTTTAGAGCGATTACACTTTTAAAATACAATGAACGTTGTCCAAAATAAATTGCGTAATGTAAGAAGTGGCTGGTTGAAGAATGAACTCAAATGAAGTCGATGAGCACATGTTTCTTCGTCATTACTAAGATGGCCTCATTGTTATTTGTTTGAAAGAAACAAATAACAAGAAGGCATTGTGGTGGAAATAATTGTTGTTTCATAACGGAAAAACCATCAACACAGCTGTGGACAATCATTCACAGCTATTATTATTTACTGTCAACACTGGAGAGAGTTTTCTTGAAAAGAGTTGTGAGGCCGCCATCTGCTGGAGGGTGAAGACATTGCATTGTGCATGATAAATGCGCTTTACTGTTCCCTTTCACGTTCTGTTTTCCAGGTTTTAAATAAGCAAGGAGAAAATGTTTAAATTTACCCAGCAGATTAATAGACACGTCTGACCAATATTTTCTTGGGACAGCCTTACAATAGTACTATTTTTCTGCTTTCGGCTTCTTTAGATCTCCTATGATCCAAAGAGGTTTTGCAGGAACGCCAGGCTTATTTCACCATCCAAGAACAAGTCTGCTAGGTTATTTTGTCAATCAAATAATACCTTAAAGTTCCAATGCATAATTTTTGGTCTCTTGTGTCTGTATTAGGGCTGGACAATAAATGAATAACAATATGCCTGTGATCAGTATTAATAGATCATACATCTGATCGAATATTCAATGTAGAGAATAGTCACAGAACTCTGATCCAGAACCACACAGCACTATGGGAGATGTAGGCAGAGGAAAGGCTTTAGCTGCTCAACCTGTGGATAAAACAGGAAAGGCCAGTTTGGCAGTATTTCAGATTTTAAAAAAAAAACCTACACGATAATTATCGACATCAACAATTATATGTCATATGAAAACATCATGATATGTTTTTCAGCCATATTGCCCAGGCCTAATTTGCCTTTTGATGCACTGCTGGCCAAACCACGTTTGATGGTTCTAACATGGGAAATGAATCACTTGATCAATTTTGTAACCAAACCCTGTTGTAAAGTAAACACAGTTCTGGGTCAGTCTATAGCCTGACAAGAAGGCAGTGAAGTAGCCCAAAAGCCTTAAATTATTCTGTGCCTGCTTTTCATTGGGAGCTGGAACGATGATAAATGGAAGCTCAGTGAAAACCACATTATGGTTGATGTCAGCCTTGTTGGGTGCCACCTCTGGTCACCTTAGGCTGGTGATGGGTGTGTGAGGCGACAATCTGATAGCCAGTGAGAGGATTAATGGGGCAGCAAAGTTGTGCTACACAAAGGACCTTTCCAGGCTAACCCTTCCTGAATTAATTATTCTTACCACATAATAAATGTCTCAAAAAGGGGAATAACTTCTGCCAATAAAATATAAGATTTTATATTCCAAGTACCACACCTCCCCTGTGGAAAGTAGGCTATTGGTTTTCTACGTATTTAAAGGCTTCCTTTATTTCCCTTCACCTACGAAACATCAGACAAGCTCAGAAAAAGTGAGCAAACCATGTAAATATTTTTCTGTCTTCTTCATTGAAAAAGGGACATAAAATCAACCTGTTTTAATTTTCGAATAATTGTTAAATTCTTATTTTTGGTGTGATTTTCTCAAGCAAGCATGCAATTAACAGATGTGAAGCCAGTTCAATTTCACCAGTGTAATCCATGGGGATTATAAAAGATTAAAATCCCTGCGCAGCTTTGACCGTTTATATTTGACAATTACCAACACTTTTTGACACTTTCCAAAGTGAGGTAACGAAATACCTCACTTTGAGAGATTTAGACAAGTTGGAATCTTCCTAAACATGCCTTGCTGTGACATGCAGCACAGCCACCATCATCATGTCAGAAGGGCAGCTCAGTAGAGGATAATGGTATTTAGATGCCCTGTAAGTATGCGGATTCTCTCAGTCAGCAACATTAATGGGGACATGAGGCATCCTGCTCATGTCCTGCATGCTTAGGTGAAGGGGGTATTAGCAGTAATGCTGGTTAGTCAGTCAGTGTCCTCTCTTTGCCGTGTAGTACACTGGTGATCACCATGGGGAGCACCAAGAAGGCAGGAAACTTGTGGAACAGGAGGCAGAGTCTCTTCCCCAACTACAAAGTCACAGACTCGGATGCCACTCGAAGACCTTCTGAGGTCGTTTACCCACTAGCCAAGGAGAGCTGTGTGAAGACATGGAACTCTATGCAAGAACTGAGCAGGGATATCTATGATATTTACGCCGAGTATGAGGACGAAGAAGAGGAGGCTGGCCCATTCAGCTTCACCAGGCAGATATCACCATCCAAGAAGAACTACGTGATCAACATCAACGTCGGGGGAAAGCCCTATCAAATAGCCTACAAAATGGCAGCAAAGTACCCCAAGACCAGGATAGGACGATTGGCCACGTACACGGATCACAACATGAAGTTGGACTTGTGCGATGATTACATAGTGACTAACAATGAGTACTTCTTTGACAGGGATCCTGAGGTCTTCCACAGCATCTTCAACTTCTACAGGACGGGTGTGTTGTGGATCAAAGATGAGCTTTGTCCCCGCAACTTCCTGGAGGAGATCAACTACTGGGGAGTGAGGATCAAAAACACCAACCGCTGTTGCCGCATCTCCTTTGAGGAGAGGCAGGACGAGCTGAACGACCAGCTAAAAATCCAGAGGGAACTGGAGGCTGAGGTGGAGATCGAGGAGAATGAGGAGCTGTTCCACGACATGTTCCTGGGCCAGACACGTCGAGCGATATGGAACTTGATGGAGAAGCCTTTTTCTTCTGTCAAGGCAAAGATGATGGCTTTGGCCTCCAGTCTTTTCGTCCTGATCTCCCTGGTGGCCATGACCCTCAACACGGTGGAGGAGATGCAGTACAAAACCCACGCCGGTCACCTAAGTGGCAAGACTTACTGTGAATACGTAGAGTCCATATGCATTGCTTTCTTCACCATGGAGTATGTGCTGCGTCTGATATCCACACCTGATCTCAGATCCTTCAGCAGGAGTGTCCTCAACACAGTGGACCTCATCGCCATCCTGCCGCAGTACCTGCAGGGCATCCTGGAGTTCTTCGACAGCGAGGAAAACTACATGAAGCACGAGGCTGACATAAAGGCGGTGGGGCAGGTGGGCAAGCTGGGGCAAGTGTTGAGGATCATGAGACTAATGCGAATTTTTCGAATCCTGAAGCTGGCTCGCCACTCCACTGGTCTGAGGGCGTTTGGCTTCACCCTGCGCCAGTGCTACCAGCAAGTGGGGTGCCTCTTCCTGTTTATCGCTATGGGCATCTTCAGCTTTTCTGCTATGGTTTTCACTGTGGAGCATGACATGCCGCAGACTAACTTCACCAGCATTCCTCATGCATGGTGGTGGGCAGCTGTAAGTATGTCTTTGCGCATATTAATTAGACCAGCTATTACACCAGTGCACAGGAGTAGAACCGTTTGTCATAAATGGTGCAGAAAAATCAGGTTATGAGTCGTTTTATTTGCAGAAAGACGGCTGTAATTTAAACAATGGCCTCAGACTGTTTACACACAACTCTGGTGACAGAGCCTGCCCATCTGCCACAATTAAACCCATTAACAGATCAATGCGCTGGCTCTGAGCAGGTGGTGGAATCTTGCTTGTAATCCGGTAGAAGGAAATGGTAATCCTCAGATACTAATGGATACGATGAAGGGACCAGGGTGCAGGGCTTGCTGCTGCAGACTGCTGTTTTTTGGGGGGTTTTCAGCAAAAATTAGTGACTCAACCAACCACTTCTGAGTCACCTTTGCTGCATATTGTTTACAGTGTCTCATTCAAGTACGACTGGATATTGTGGAAAGGTAGTTTGGATTAAAAATATCCATGGAGTTGTCACAACAGACCCGTTCTTACTGTGAGAATGATACGGGCCAGAAGCAGAAAACGATACTTACTGTTGAAACGGAACAAAATTTATTATACAACCTAATTGATGTCATGTTGAAAAAGGGAATGTTATTTACCAACGACT